TTGATGGATGACACAACAACAAATTCCTTCTAAAAATTCTTGCAATAATACTTAGAAGGATGTTGATCTTTTCGAATATGACTGGAGGAAGGTGGATTTGTTTGCAAATATGAGTAGTTTTGAGATGCAAATCCAACTTCTCACTTGTGTTCATGTTTATAGAAATTTATAACTTTTTCGTTTATAACCCTTAACAAAGTAGAACTTGCTTCCATTTTTGAGATAATCATCTATTTAAGTTTTTGCCCTCGAAATCTTAATTCTGTGTCCACCTCTACTACTGAGTTATATAAAATCACCAATGGGCAAACGAAGTTGTTTAAAACTTAGAAGCCTAACCATAATACCATGTGCAATATTGTTGAGGTATGAACAACATGCATAGCTTTTTTTTTCTTTTTTTCTTTTTTTTTTTTAGTGTAAGTAGAAGGATTCGAACCCGAGATCTCTTGCTTACACTCCCTCCCCCATAGCACCCAACATGCATAGTTAAATTCAAAATCCATAAATGAAAATATGCTTAATAAAGTTATGAGTAACCAAAGGCTATAGAACCAAAGAAGTCCAATTATCCAATATTTCATCTTTTCCACTTGCATATACAATTGTTATAATCAATACTGAATAAACTAGATGAAGATTAAGGCAAATTCTTAAGTATCGAAAGTATTTTTTTTGTAGTATTGAAAGCCTTGGTCACTTTCTCGATCTATCTTCACTATGCTAGAGAATCAATACTTGGGACCCCAATCAAATTCCTTTTCATGGGTAGATCTGAAGTTCAATTGTAAAGTTTCTAAGAACTAGTGGCAACAATGGATATTGGGAACCCATTCCCATTTCACTATCTATCTCCTAGTTTCAAAATGACAATAAAACACCAAAGAGGTCAAGCAAATCTTTTTTTTCCCAAAGTTGCTTGAGCAAATTTATTTTCGTACAATAATCACGCACATCCATTCCACATATGTTTCTACTCCATAAAAGAAGAGAAAGAAGGCATGAAAGCCCTAGTAGAGATCCATAACAAGAAATTTCTAGGAAGAAATCTTTGATCCTTTTATTTAAAAATTAATTCATTAGAGCTAAAGAATGATGGGGGAAGAAAACTCGAAGAGGTTGAGTTTGAAGATCTCGGAGGAATCTCTCTTTGTTCTACATTTTCCTCTTTGGTCCAAGGAAAACTCCAAACCTTATAAGGAAGAAAGATGAGGACTTGAGAGTGGAACTAGAGACCTCATAGTCATTAGGCTAATGTTTTTAATAGTTAAATAAGGTTTTGGACACAAATATAGAGCGGATATGACATTTTGAATGTCCTTGTTAATGTTGATGGGTGTGTATAGATTGGTGAATTTTTCAAAAAAAAAAAAAAGTTTTTCAAATACAATGTTACAATAACACACTCTAAAAAAACACTTTTAAAGACATCTAATCCATACAAAATCTCAAATATAACTAATAATAAATATAATAAAATAAAATAAAACTACCATCTCCATCTTCTTCCACCTACCACCATTGCCGACCACCGCTTCTCCCCTCCTCTACAGCCATCGCCGTCCCTCCCCCTCCCCTCCCTCTCATTCAAATTGAAAAAAAGTACTTTGTTTGGTATAACACACGGTTTCATTTTATATAGATTATAAAGGAGTACGAATTCTAAAAAGAACTAAAATTCCAGACTCGAGATGGGATGATTTAATATTTCTTCATTCATTCCCATCCCTTCTCTCTACTCTCTCTCCTTCCCTTCCCTCTTCCCCTCCCCTCCTTTCCTTCCACCTCCTTCCTTTTCCCCTCCTCTCATTCTGCAACCCTGTTCTTCTCCCTCTCAAGAACATCCTCAAAGACACACCCCATAACACCTAATCATTTACAGTAAAAGATTTTTATATGCATCGCTATAGTAATATTTTTTAAAAACACTCCCAAAAATACCTAATTGATACAGAGTCGATGATTTCTCTAAGATTTTCATAATAGTTGAAAGCATGAGAGGCAAATTTGAGGTATCTAAATTAGAAACTAACCTATAAATTTGCTAGCCAATTGGGGGTTTTGAGTAATTTTCCAAAATATAGACTTGTGAAAACAAAAATAAAAAGAAGAAACACAAACGTGAGAAGGCAAAGACCAACAAAGCCTCTCTCGGTGTCAACAAATTCAAGCATCACCATGTACCTGGTACATTTTCAATATTTGGTGCGTATATCATATGTATTAGAGATACGTGTCTAATTGTCTATATATGCATGTGATTATCTGTACATTCAAGGAAATCATAATGCTTAACCAGTCACAGGAGTTGCCATCTTCAAAATGGTCCTCAGTGCACTTTCCAACTATTGAGAGCGACCAACACCATAGGTCGTGCACTTTTTGAAAAGAAAAGAATAACTAAACCCACGGGTCAGAATTATGGCCCAAGACTTCTTTTAATCAAATGGTCCACCTTTTCACCTCTGCTTGTGGGGGCTTGCTGTATTAATCAACAAGACCTACAAATCAATCACGGCCACATAATTGAAAACGAAACCATTCCTGAACTCCATATTATGGACGTGCCTTACATGAGCTTTACTTTTGTTTAGTTAACCTTTCATGTCAACAGAAAAACCAAATTGCAATAGTACAGATGGGATTATGAATTTACTTTTAGTCTTGGAATAATTTGCATGAGAATCACATTTTAATTCAATTGTCTTCTTTACTCTTTTTTTTTTTAATTCAAATTTCTTCAAAGTAACTCTTTGCTCAAAAAATTTATACTTATTCTCCAAGCTTTTTTTCTCAGAGCTAAGTAAAGTAGTCGAAACGATTTTATTGCCAAAAGAGCTCATCTGTCTAGAGAAAGTCAACCATAAGGTGGTAGTATAATTAGATTGAGCAATTTTAGGCATAAAGTAAACACTAACTTAGCCTAGGAAGCAAGTAATTACTAAATTGTAGAACAAAGGGGCCACCTCTAATTTCACTAAATTTTCAAATTAATCGAGCCTTTGATTCTAACTTCTATCCTGAATTATTCAATCCATCATTCTTTTAGTCTTAGGACAAATTAAATTTGAGTTCGCATAAAAAAAATAAAATTTGAGTTCGAAGAATACATTACTTAGTCTTGTTTAATTTATAGTCAATTTAAACCAAATATACATTCTTTGAAGGAGGGTGTACATATGTCCGTCCAAGTAATTGTTTCGATGGGCGCACTTGAAAGGCCTATTCATCATTTCGGTTCACTTTTGAGCAAAATGTACTGCAAAATGGATATAAAAGAAAGTTGATCAATCAAGAAAGTTAACCAAGAAAGTTAAAGAACCATGGCATATCTCCACATGTCAACAAGCAATTTTATCCATGGGTAAGCTTAAGTATTATAGTGATCTTAACTTCAAATTTAGTGCTTCTTTGTTTGGCTGAAATGTCTGTTAAGTACAATAAATATGCTTTAGATTTGCTAACTGCAAATACACACAACATTGGTGGAATTCTTTGGGCTGGCAAACTTCATATGTGTATTTAAAAGTCAACATTAAAATTTTTATGCCATCGTTGGGGAGTAGAAAACCATGGCACATGTGTCATTTTAATCAAAATGGAAGTTTTGCGCATATATTGTTGGGGACATTTACCTTAACTTTTTATGCACCGATAGTATAATGATTTTTTTTTACAACAGTTTTGAATGTATACTACATGTGTATGATTTAAAATTCAAATATGAATTCATGTTACATGACAATAATCTAAACTTACTAATGTTAAAAAAATTATATACTCCAGACAAAAAAAAATATATACACTGACAATATATATAAAAAAAATATCCATACAATATTGGTAAATTTCTCCGAGGACGCTTTTCAAAGTTAAGACAAGCAGGCTTGCAACGGGTGCAGTGTCACTGCATATCTGTCATCTGATTTGACGTAAGTGGAAATCAAGGTAAGTTCTGTTTAGCACTACAAATCGGACGCAAAAGTTGCTACATTCTTCCTCTGTATTCTTCAGCGAGCAAGTTTACAATTTACCCTTTCGGATTTAAATGTTATGCAACTTACCGTGACCATTTTTTGATCATAATATTTTTCCAACGATGATCAAATGTCACATATTGGAAATTCTACTTAAATTTTCTAATCCACATCTTACAAGTATAAACGATTTAACATGTTTGGTTAGAAGATTATTTTTTTATATAACAAATTATTATATAAATTTTATAATATGATATATTTGATATAAAAAGATGACTAAAAAGTAAAATCATGATTCGAAACACGTTTTAATCCAACCAACATGGTCTTTGTCCCAGATAATGACCTATCCAATCACTTTCTCCCATAACATTTCATGGTACCTTTGTCGCGTATCGATCACACAGCTAGCCACAATTGGAAGGAAATAACTGATAGATTTATCATTCCAAACCTTTCTCCTGTTCTGACTTCTTTTGTCCACTTTCAATAACACAAACTAAGAGTGTTAATTGAGCTGGACTTTAACAAGTCCAAACTCGGTTTACAAGGTATATAAATTTTTGGATTTTGAACTTTCGAATTTTGGCTCAAATTAAAAGGATCAAGCTTATTTCACACTATTATATAAGTTTTTGATTCAAATCAAAATTGATCCAAACTCATAATTAGTACATAATTATATAATATATATATTTTATAATTATGAATTAATACAAATTTATATATAACTTATCATCACTTTATGTCTTATAATTATAAATTATAGATGTTATTAGTGTATATTTCACATATATAATTATACTCATACATTTAGTTCACGCCTAATATTTATGATGTTATTAGTGTATATTTCACATATATAATTATACTCGTACATTTAGTTCACGCCTAATATTTATGCCTCAACTTTGCTCGACCCAATTAAAGTTTAGGCTCAATGAGCCTTTTGCTGGCTGAACAGGCTGAACTCGAGTTGATCCGGCTCCATTCACAAAAATCAAACTTCTGATGCTAAACAACAATAGCAAAGGCTAAAACAGTTAAGAGCGTGCAGTCAAGAGAGAAGGAATGGAGCTTGAAGTATCCTGACTATTTTGAATCATATTCCTTGAACTGACAGAAAGGGGAAAAAGAAAGATGAAGCTATGAGGAATTTGAGGCTTGCTGCATATTTTTCTATAAAATTTCCATAATTTTATAAAATATCCTAGAAAGACTAATAAAATTAAATGCTAAGTCACCAAATCTGGTACAACAATATGCCAGGGTGCATTAGTGTTAATCCAGCATTAAAGCATCAAGGGTCTCTGCCAAATTTTCCGGTGAACGTTTCTTCCCAAGGTAGTGCCGTCACCTACTCTACTTTCTTGCTTGATTTGCTATCATCTTCCTTAGAACTGGTAGCTTTAGACTCATCGAACTCCAACAACTGTAAAAAAAATTACAATGTTAAGACAGAACTTTGAAGCAGAAAATCCAAGTATGAAACAGAGAAGTAAAACATAATCCCACCGCGATAGCATCTCCATAACTATCCAAGAGACTTAAAAAACTAAACCATCTACTCTTAAAGACTAATGTTCACAAACTGATGATGATCAATCATTCTAACCAGCAATGGTTATGAACCACAAAGTCATCTTCAAAGTTTAACAGATAGTACTATTTGATCAAATTAACCTTTTCTGACGTCAAAGGCCTCTGGTCTGCCTGTACAATTAGGCATTAGCTTAGAATAGGAAGGGTGCATACGATTTAATGCAATAAACTAGCTCGGCTGGAGCCCAATGCCGCTAGTTTAACGGTCGACAGCCCAAACAGGAGGATATTTCTCAATAGGCTAAAGGCCAGAACCAGATGGGATTAAGCACAGTTTCAAATAAAGATGTTTGATGTCCAGAAGGTCGATTTACATCCCATTATCAGAATCTGGAAGGTAGATTTACATCCAAAGATCAGAATTGATCAAAGGATGCTTCAATAAAGAAAACTTCATATGAAAGGGAAAAGCAACTATGGTACTGATCCTAGATCCCAAGAGTGTCACAATCTGGTCCCATAAGAATAACATTGTGAATTTTTCTAATTACAACTGCTAAAACTTTATATTCCTAGTAACAAGATTGGTTTGTTAACTTTTGCCTTGTATATAGGGAGTCTAAGAGAGCAGTAGATTACCTTGCAGGGAAACCAGAATGCATTGGCTTTGAAGGGCTCACTTGTTATCATTCCATATTAATTACTAAGAAGGATGGTAGGGATGCAGTGCTAGCTTTGCATACTGTTGGACTGATCCATACTTCACTTTTAGGAAAGCTTATCATTTACGTAACAAAATTAAACTTATTTACAAGCTGAAGGTATTCAGAACCAGTACTTGATGATCGAACTAAAATTTGCACACAGTTGGGCAGTTCCATACTTCACTTTTTTGACAGCTTGTCATGTAAGCAATAAAATTAAACTTATACACAAGATTAAGGTACTCAGAACCAGTACTGTGATTGAACTAAAATGTGGCATGACAGATTATAGAACTTAAAACTTCTGAATATAATTTTCTTCTTATTTAAAGTTGTTATAATAAAAAGGTTCAGTTGGTAACCCAGTCCATCTATATAATGAGGCTTACTCATGCATGTGCCAAGCAAAACTCGCACCTTCAGAGAAGAATTCATAAAAAAAATTTCAGTCCAAAAATTAAACATTCTATTGGTAACCCTTTCCATCTACAGAATGTCCTTCAATCATACATAAGAAATATGCAAGCAAAACTCGAACCTTCAGAGAATAACTTGTGAAAAAATTCATAATCCAAAAAATCAAACAATAATACCTTCCTTTATTTCGTATTGCCTGTTGCTACCTCTAGTTTTATTTTCATTGTCTTAGTCGCAAAAGTTTAAAATCAAGAGCTGGCCATTTAAAAGTATCTCTTAAAGACATGCATAAAGTCATTTCACTATAATACACCAGGAAAGAAAGAAGTTCAGCATTTAACAACAGTTATAAAATAAATTCATGATCACAAAAGACTTACTGGTTTCACTTCCCCATTCCAAATGACGTGCACAGCCAAAAATCCGATAACAGCCGGTACAATATACAAGAGTGCAGGCTAAATAAACAACCATTAAAAAGGATCAACAAAATGAGAAGTATGGACCCTCACTTGAACAAATTTACACTTCTCAAATGTATCTATCTACTTTCAAAGGTAAGGACATGCATAAAACACCGACCTGTGCAGCTTGAAACCAGTTCATGACAATTATTGTCAGGATCAAACCAACAGAGTATCCTACAAAAGCACTCTTGAAATATTGGTTCTGCTTCCCCCGAGAAACATCAAAGCGCAATGCCAGTGCCACAAAAATCCCTGAGATATATAAATTACAGATGCCGATTTTACTTAGCATGCTTTGAGTATTTCTTCATACAATTTAGAACCATGCACACATCACAAGGGATCACCAACAAACCAAATAAGGAGCTTAGAGATGAAAACAAAAAGCTGCACAATTATTTCAGATTTTAAAAAATAAAATGCTGTAGAAAGGGCTGGATTAAAAATGATGAATCTCATCACCAGACGTGTTCCCTTATAAAAACAGTCAAGGATGAAAAACAGTCGAACATCAAATTCAAAAACTCAACCATGGACTCCCAACATAGCAGCCAAAAATGAGGATGACAAACCGACAACTACTATTAGAACAATTAGAATAAAAGCCATACCAGGAATTACTATATCCCCAAGACCCAGCATTGAAAACGGACGTGCAGAGTCAGCCGTTGGGAACAAAAGCTGTAGAAAGTATATATTGTTACACTTGGTTGCAAACTATGATAGACAGAATCCAAGTACAAGAATTTCTGTAAAAGATATACAGAACACAAGATCACACACTTACCTTGATAGGAGCATCAAAAGATTTAGCAACACTAACCATTACTGGGGTAAAAAAGACCCAGAAAATGTCATATACAAAAAGTCCAGCCTGCAAATTAAGAAGATGTAAATTGCATCATTGTAAACAAATGGTAGGATAGCACAATCTGGAAGATGCATCAATTAGAGCGGGAATACTGATAAAAATGCATGAATACATGTGTGTCCATTTGTATCTATCAAAGCATACTGACAAAGCATTGATACACAAAGTCTTGGTCGTCGCCTTTCAATCTATCTTATTGCATTTATACAAATAAGTTTATTTAGGTTACTAAACTTCCTTCACTTACCAAAAGAATAGCTCCAGTCTTGAATGAACCAAGTGAAAGCATTTCGATTCCCTTCAAAATCAAACACAAAACAGAGTGAGATCATTACATAAGCTTATAGGATTTAAAACAACATGGGATCAAATTGATGAAGAAAGTATGCTTTATTTATTAATAGGAGAAAAAATGAGGGAAACCTTAACATCATAACGGATGAAGAAGATTCTGCAAATAATATGCTACCAAGTATTCCAAAGAATGATAAAAAGCACTCTAGTTCGTCAATCCAGAAGACAGGCATCTATATAGCTTCTTCACTTCTACTACAGGAAGGACAACTCCAGAGACATAATCATAGCCAGAGATTGACAATGGCATGGAGAGTCAAGGAAAGCAAATGTGCAACTTATGTAACCTAGTTTACAACAACAATTAGTGCTTCAAGTTTGATTTAGAAATTCTTCAAAACAGTGTCAAAGGAAATGCTCTAGGAAGTAGCAAACGAGAGAGAACAACACTCATGTATCACAGAAAGATGCTAGTTTTCACATACTCTTCATTTCACATGAAGAGAGATACAGGAAAACATGCAACCAAGATATTTATACTTCTAATGTTAATTCATAAAGCATGGGCTTCTGATTCTTTCCGGTTCAAGCACTAGTGAAAAACGGCAAGAACAAAGAAATGCAAGTTAAACACTTGAGTCAGGCATAAATGATGGAAGAAAGTTCAAACGATCGAGACAAATACACAACTAAGAAAAGCAGACACAAAGTTGACAGAAGTGACTTAGTACACAAATAAATATGGACAGGGAAAAAAAACCGAAGCAAAAGTTAGGGGAGGAAATGAAAGTCAGCTATCAGAGTGTTGACCAACTCATGTTTACTGTTTATTTAGATTAGATACAGGTTTTTTTGGGGGCAGGGCCGTGGGGGACGGGAATCACTTAAATTAAACGGAGGAGAAGAAAAAATGGGTCATAATGTCAACTATTGCACATTTTAGGAACTTTCAAAAGAACTTGCACTCCTAAAACGTATACAGAGCAACATATTTCAAAGATGATAATGTCAACCTGAATGCAGAATGCAAGCCCCAATATGTTATTGGCCAGCCAATGCTTCTGTGCAGCATACCATGCACAAAAGAAGGTTCCAGGAATTGCAGCAACAACCTGAGACCTTGTGAACTCAACCTCCAAAGCTGTCCAATAAATGTGTACAGAAAAACATCATTCTGCATATTGCAAGCAATATATGAAGCAGATAAAAAGAGAGAGAGAAGTCGGGAGCTATATATATATATATATATAGAGAGAGAGAGAGAGAGAGGGGAAACCTAGCCACTCTGTCCAAATATAATATTTAATTACTGAACCACCAATTCTACTATGGAAAAGTCATCAAGATATTGCAGTTAACAACTTTACGGCATTCTTGGTCTTAAAGTTGCAGTATTTAAGAAACCTAACAAACTCATACAAACAGTCTTAGCTTGGGTTGAAGAAGTGATATCTCCTCCATCTGTACACAAACTGACCATAGAAAACCCAGCAGGTATTTCACAAAAGTGACAGACAATGTGGAGGATAATGGTTAAAAACCAACAAACCTACAACTGAATATCCTACAATCAATAATTAGTGTGAGCCAAGATTCAAAAGCTAACAACTTTAAACAAAGTATCAAATAAATGGTATCTATTCTAGTGGAGGCAGTAAAAATAAACTCATATGTTAAGGAAATTGAGTTATGAAATACAATTCTGTAGCAGCCTAAAGGTACCTACTGTACAAAAATGCCTATCTCTTTGATGAAGATCTTCAACCAAAAAAAGGGAGAGAAAAGAGAAGAAAAGAAAAACGAAAGGAAAAGGAAGCAAGACTTGATATAGAATATGATAATCAGGTGCCTATACAGGGACAACTTATAAATCTCACATCATTATAAAAATACTCATGTTTTGAAACTCAGCTTTGCTTGGCAACAGATTAAAATTCATTTCAATTGAGGCTTGAAAATGAAAAGGTACAGTTAAAGCTTACTTTGAAAATAGTTTTGAAAAACTTTTGAGACAAGTGATGAAAGATGATGCTGCAAATGGATATTTTACCAGAAGAATTTTTCACAAAAGTAGCTACCCAAGTCCATAGGCATGCTTGATTTAACTTCTACTAAGCATAAAAGGAAATATGAAGCACTCCAAGACAAGGTGGAGCTTCACAAAAAGAACTAGAACCACAGCGAACACATATAGGCTCTGAATAGAAAGGGAAGTGAATACATACAGCGAATATAGGGAAAACGCCAGATAATTACATCTTCGTTCCAATGCTTAGGCAAAAAGCGTTTGATTGCAGGCAGCAAGGTTGCACTGGAAACAGTGAAAAAGGAGCTTAGATCGAAAAAGTCAACAGACAAACAGAAAGATGTTCATCACAGAAAAATAACGCAAAGTATAATGATCCATACGGAAAGAACATACGAAAGAGCAACGATCCCAAGAACAAAAAAGTAGCATGTCAACACAGCATTAACCAAGTCCTTCGAAAGGAACTTAAAAAGCAAGAACAGTGATAACAGCATTGCACTTCCAACCAAGGGAAATCGCATGGCATGTTCATTGGACATTGTTTCCTGCAAAATTAAAACCACAGATTTAGTCAAGTCAAGGCTAGCTTGGTTTTAGAAAAGCAAAGGGCAAATCAAGAGCAACATCTGGATGGCTTCACTTACTGATGGAGGTGTTGGCTTAACAGAACGGTAACAACCAACAAAAACCGTAAGGCAAGCTGTCAAAATGACATTTAAATTTGGGTCTACCTTCAGAATTAGTGGGGCAAAAGTCAGGCCTGCAGGAATGACAAAGTAATTAAAGATTAAGGTTGGTTCTTGCAAAATCTCATAAACTTAGTAATGCGTCAAGGATCCAACAAACATATTATGTGGACTTCAATTAGAGTATGCTATATTATACACATCAAAAAGCTGAATTACTACAATGTGCTGGTATTAACAGGAACAGAAAAGAAATTTCTTAACAAATAAACAGTGATGTTTTAAAAGAATTGAATTTACACAATAGAAGATGATCATCAAGAAAAGTTGGAAAAGAATTTTGTTTTATGATTGGCCCAAAAAAATTAGAGAAACTCAATGAAAGATCCTCTAAATAGAGGCATGGAATTGGGAGCTGGATGGAGTCTCATCTAATCAAGAATAACGGCAGAAGAAAAAAATGTTGTATAAATTCAATTTACAGTACAGCATCAAAGCTCTAGCAGCACAGGCTAGAAAAAAATTGGAAAAGTTGAACAAAGAACCATTTGTTTTCATCATCAAAGAAAGATAAATAAGACAAAGATGAAATAAAAGAATCCAAGCTAGAATAGGCTCTTGCTGAAAACACTTTTAAAACCCTGAAACATGATAGCAACACAATAGCATCAATCTCTAGGCAAAAAATTTTCAGAAAAGGACTAAGGCGGTTCCAAGGCGAGGGGGAGTCCCTGATGTGCCCTGTATCTGCCTGAAAGGCTATCTGATCCGATCAACTGCATAAGCCGTAGCGCGCAAGCGCATGTACTCTGCCTCCATGAGCGAGACTCAATCCAGATTTGCCTGAGGAGGAAAGAGAAACACTTGACCAGCTAATACTGCAGCCTTCCAACCATCAGAGGACCTTTTTTTCTTTTAATAACCGAAACTACTTATCCTCTACCAAATCAATCCTGTAATCCATATTGGAATCTTAAAAACTTCCAGTTGCGGTACAGCTTTTAGCTTGTAGCTTTTTAGCAGGATAACAGCCGAAAACCATTTCCTTTTTCTGCCAAGGAATAGTCAACATCCCAGTAGCCTATACTAAAACTTCTATCCTTTCAAGGAACAAAACGAGCAAAAAGAAATTGAAAATTGAATATCAATTCTACTACACTCGCTAAAAAAAAGCACTTTGCTAATTAAAATCGAAGAATAAAAAGAATATTTGTAAAATCCAATACATTCAAGGGGAGGAAAAAGGGGGAAGCATATAAAAATAAATAAAAAGGGGCAACTAATATAAAAACTTTAATTAATCAAACAATAAAGGAGAGACCAAAAAAATACCTGCTAAAGCAACATTTGCAATACGCTCAATATTCTTCATTGCCTCTCTCTCTTACCCTTTATCAAAACTTTAACCAGAAAATCAGAGACCCTTCTTGTTATCTGTCAGAAATCAACATAAAAACACACAATTAACAACCCTATTTAAAATTATCCTAAATCAATAGAAATATTCACCGAACAGTTGGTCAAAATTGAATCTTTTTCAGGGTTTACTTGTAAAAATCACAGGATCGAACTAAATAATCAATTAATCTGCTAATTGAAATCAACTTACAAGAGGAAAGGAATCGACGAGACCGCTTCTTCTTGCTCTTCTTATCGAATTGTTGATCGGAGAAAACTGCAGATCGGAAAAGAATGAGATATTTTTCAATTTAAATTCTTGAGAGGAAGGGTTTTAGATTAGAGTAAGTATCTAATTACTGATTTTATTTATTGTAAAATCGTATTATTTATATTAAATTCATTTGTGGGAAATATTGAGGGAACTGGATTTTCTTCCGGGGAGCCACGTCCGAAGAGCTGTGGTACCCAATTGTAGAACGACACATGGGATTTAGGAAATATCCGTGCTCTCTCTTCCTATGTAACGTCATAATGGTACATTTATACGGGCAATTTGCTGGTTGTAAAACTTTTTTTGTTTTATGTTTTGGGTATTTTTTGTATGCTTACCGTTGGGTCTAAATGCATGATAACCTGTGTATGAAGGACAATTTCAAATTTGAATGTAAATTAGGGGATCCACTTAGTTTGGAGTACATTTTAGGTGATTCATCTTAAATTTATATATGTGGTTAACATAAATCATGATCGCGATTTTAGAATCGTCAGTTCTGGATTCAACATTTTATAGGACGATTATCGATAATGATTCTGGAACTACTAGTTTTGCTTCCAATTCTTAACAATTTCGATTTCGTTTTCTACAGTTCTAGTTCTGATTCCTTATAATTACACTTAATTACTTATTGTTAGAAATTTTGATGCGAAATGTTAAAAAAAGAAGAGAAAGTAATGTGAAAAAATATTTTAAAATGAAGAGAAGGTGAAGAAAAATAAGATTTTGATTTTATCATTATTGAATAAGAAAAAGGGAAAATATGAACTTTATGAAAAGTACATCACACTGTTGAATGTTAATGATCATTTTAAATAAAATAAAAGATCCACAATCTTAGACAAGTTTATCTTTCTTTTATTTTAAGATGTTTTGGAACCTGAATTATAATCGATGATTCTGGTTCTGATTCTATTCTTAGTGTGACGTCCCCACTTCTCCCAAGGGCGAACCCAAGGGTATCCGCGAAACGCCTGCCCAACTCTCATCAGGATTCGAAACAAATCGATTCAAGGTTAACAATATATAACAATTTATACTAGTCTAATAAGGAAAAGTCGCTTCCATAATCAAATATCCAAATCTTACACCACGAGTTCAGAATACATCAGTTACCCAATTCTTACATCAGGATCCAAAAGATACATCAATTCCCAAATATATACAACATCCAAAAGTTGTCTAGACAAATACATCCAATATGCCAAATCAAAAGTGCATCAAGTTTCAAAATACAACAATTATAAGTCGACTAAACAATTATAACCAAGGTACTAATCAAAAGAGTAATCTAGTCGGCTTTTCTCCAAAATCTTCCCATCTGGTTCTGTTAAGGAAAACAAATCTAACGGGGTAAACAAATATTCATAAGGCCAAGAAACACACATGCAAGCACGTATTCCAAATAGCAACAACAAATACACTGTAAGTAAAGCTATAAAGTTCGAATAATTCACATTTCCAATAAGAAAAATAGACAGAAACAATTCAAAGATACTGTAGCTCTCAGGAGCTAAATTTCACGTAGTCGAGCCATGGTCTTGATTAATTTCCATGTTGACACTCCGTCAACCACATAAGTATCAAATCCTGTAGATACACCATTTTCTTCGAATCTCGTCACCGTTACACCCCCTTATCGGGCCCACTCATCAAAATTTTGATAATACTCGAGTATATCATGGCAATACTGCGCGAGTAATGCCGAGTAAGATCTCTCCAATAGATCATACTCTACGAATATCTCATGGTTTGCTAAGCTTACCGGCCAAACCCATGCTGGCTCGATTCGCAAAGTAACCAACGAGTTTGAGCGTCCCCCGAATACGAATACGAATATAAGTCGATGAACAACGCTCAAATCGACGATTCCGACTAGGAATCACAAATACGAATCATATCCACATTACTATATACATGTCGAATATGAATTCACATAGCAAAATTCGAATATAATTTCATTTGAAAGAGAACGAGTGCGGTAAAGTACACACTCATTTCTAAATTTCCAAATTCAAATAACGGATAAGAAGCAGTAAACACTTAGCAACAAATTCATGCACTTGACACTCACCGAGTGATTCAAGTAGCAAGTTCAAATGATGATTTAGGCGTCTCCTGTGAGATCCTCTGGAAGGTTCTCTTGAGCGCCTGAGCATTTAATAATAAACTATCACTTATAAACCCCAATTAATAAGGAAGATTGCACTCTTGTACAATCTAAGAAAATTTCACGAGAATGAACCTTAATTATTCGTAAATTGAGGCTCAAAAGTGGAGTTTTAAAACACAAGCAAAATCTGATTTACATTCTTAAAATCGAGTGTAAAACGATCAAGTGATATTAAAAGGAAAAAACGAGTTTGAAAAACTCCATTTCCTTTAAGTTAGAAATTTTCAGATTTGTTACACTTACTTTGAAAAATCATATCTCATTCTTTACACGTCCGAAATTGGAAAATTTGGTACCGTTGGAAACTACTTCCAAAGTGCTAAAAGTTCTTAGAATACACTTTTCCATGATTCCAACTGGAAGGTATCGAAAATTTGGCTCAAAGTTGCTATTCTGGGGCATTGAAGACAGGTTTAGGTTGGTTTTTGGCCAACTTTGAAAATTCGGAAAAATTCACTTGATCCAAACTAACCTCTGAAATTTGGAACTCTATTAGAGTTGCAATCCAAGTTTAAAACAAAACAAACGGAATAAGATTCGGAATTTTGAACACCAAGATATGGTAGCTCAAAGTTACTAAAATTTCCTTGTTAATCAAGGGTTTTCCAAACTCAAATCATGAACTTTGGAAGTTTAGTTGAGCAGCGAAACGGAGTCGGAATGGCACCAAATTTAGCAGTATAATACTACCATACAGGGACTATTCCTCTGCCAATTTTCATAGAAAAATATGTACGGAAAGTTGGTTAATGAAACCACTAAAGTCCTAAGAAGTTCCTCGGCAAATCTGCCTTGGACTTCCGTTTTTTCTGTTTTCAAAACGTTTGGCCAATAAAACACCTCAAACACGGTTCATTCCAGTAGGTAATGTCTAAAATATGCCCAAGGTACATTTGATAGGTAATTTACACTAAGAAACTTCGGATATCAAGTCCCAAATCATCGTTAGTTTCAAATCTGTCCAAATGCATGGTTTTCCTTCACAAAACCAGTTTCGAATTTTGATCATAAATCACTCAATTCAACTCGGAATTGAGCGTGGTTGGTGGCGTTGGAAAATAGATTCATAAGGCTACATTTTCTCAGAAGAAATCATTTTCAAAATCTGTCCATAACCATCATATATGAGCATCAAATCGCAGTTCATAATCTGCCTCCCAGTGACAAACGAAACAAGACAGCAATTTTTAAACGAATGGTTTGGCTCACTCAAGTGGAACCAGAATGTTCATTTTATACCAAATGAAAGCTGGGAATGTCTAGTTTCCAGTGCCACAAACGGCACTCGATTCCAACATCGGACCGATGAGTTATAGCCGACCTTCTAGCTTCATTCTATATCATTTCCAATCATCATACATAGCCACACCATAACAATCATATTAAAACAGAAAAATCACGAATAATTATGAAAATTCACCAATCTTCACCAAAAGTCACAAAACCTTGCACCAATCCAACTCTATGACTAACACAAGTCACTAATTAAACATTATTAAGAACAAAGAAAGGATTGCTAGACATGATACCTTGAAATCTCAAGAAAGGTGATGGCTTAGTCCTTTCCCTTCTCCAATCACTCCACCACTACCTTCAATCTTCCTAAACAAGTGACTTTTGTGGAGGAATTTGAAATTTTAACGGTTGATTCACAAGATTGAGCAAGAAATGGAGTTGGAGTTGAAGGCTTTCTTCTTGTTTTTCCTCCTCAAGAATTTGGCCAAGATGCTAGAAGAATGAAGATGTTTTTGGTCAATTTTGATTTATTGGTAAAGTTGGTTCAAAGGTCAAAGTCTAACCAAATCACAAAGTGACACTTGTCACTCTCATTAATGCTTGGCTATCCTTTTGTCTCTCCACTCTCATCCATATAACAACCTTTAATTATCTTTTAGCACTTGGTAAAATAAATCCGGTATCCAAAAGTTAACCTAATTGCCGAATTTTTCCGAACATTTCGCACTAGCGGGTCCCACATTCGATATACACTCTTAATTTCACATGAACTAACTTTTACTAGAAAAATGATTTAAAAACAATATTTTGCTCATAAAAATTATCTAGAGAATTTTCCAATAAAGAAAAGGTATCAAAGTGTGAAATTAAATAAAATAAAGCCTAGAAATTCGGTAAATTTTCGGGTCCTCACACCCTCTCCCCCTTAAAAAAATTTCGCCCTCGAAATTTTACCTTCATTTGCCTCAGACGAGTCCGGAGCTGTTTGGTTGCCTAACGCATACACTTTTGCTGGCCCACTAGTTCGGTTCCCTCTTTCCTTTGCTTGTTTTGTTTTAGCTCCTTCCAGTTGCAGAATACTACCTCCGCGTGACTGTCTCCTCGGACAGTTGCTAACTTGGTGCTCACCACTCCCACAAATCAAGCACTTCCGCCCTTTCCGCCAATAATCGTTCTCGGTATGATTGGCCTTTCCGCAATAGCCACAAGTCAAGTAGGAAGCCATCTTTTGGCTTTCTGGAGAAGTCTCCCCATGTCCGGTTTGGCTTCCTTTGGTAGACCTTCCATTTCCCGCCCCTACTGTCCATGGCGGGTAGGATAAAAAGTTCACTTTCTGCATTTTAGAAGGTGCTATTCATTCACTAGGAGGTTCTTCAATCACACTACCAACTGCACCTCTTTTCCGAGTTTGGGAGGCTTTTACTTGTGCCTTTGCATTCTCGATTCGTTGAGCCTCCTCAAGGGTCTCCGTAAAGGTATTCATTTGCGCCGCGGCTAACGCCACTTGGATGTCCAAATTCAGTCCCTGTATAAACCGTCATACTCTGCGCCGTTCAGTGGCTACCAGGTCAGAAGCAAACTTGGATAATCTTGTAAATTTTGTTTCATATTCGGCCACACTTAACGTTCCCTGGCGTAATCCAATAAACTCCTCCTCCCTCCTTTCTTGGACTAAAGGTGGAAGGTACTTCTCGGTAAATTCTCTTTTGAAGTTCGCCCATGTCCAGATGGTCTGTTCTCTTTCCCACTTTGCTCGAATTACGTTCCACCATGATCG